ATATATATATATATATATATAATTGCATGTTACCTCTCAACTTTCTCGGAATGCTCAATTTGTCGTCTGTCGAAAAGAATACAGTAGTTAAAATATTCATTGCAATAAATGTTAGTGTTTCTGAAGTCAGCAATTAAAGTATCTGAGTTTTCATTACCGTTACGCACTATTATATATTATATATGTAATGTACTTCGATCTATGTAGCGCTTTATACCGGAGTCTCTAAGCGCTTGAGGTGTGGACTAGCTCGTACAGTAACTTTCCTCTCCCCGAAGGGATTATTCATGTATAAGCTACCAGCTATCTCTTGTCTGTCCGCAACAGGGGCTGTATGAACCAGTACACCGTGGCAACCCCCTACTGGTCTCGAAAGATGTACTGGGTTCTTTATAGTGCACATAAGCTAAATTGTGTACACATGTATTGAAACTTAAGAGAAGAGGAATCTGACAAGGAGTTAATTAATAATATATTTCCATATTCATTTCACATATGTAAATATATACATACTTCTACATATACATATAAATGTATAGATCATATATATATATACATATACATATATATATATTTATATATATATACATATACATATATATAATCCTATATATATATATATATAAATAGCACACATTATATTATTATGTATATTATTATATTAGTCTTAATACAGTATGTATACATATGTATTTAAACAAATGGAAACATCTTTCAGAAGTCAGAATGGTTTTGTTCACGACGAAAGCAGCAACCTATTTGTTTTAAAAAGTATGTCACTGATGCTTGTTCGATAATAAAGATATACTGTTGGTGTTTAACTAATTGTCATTCACAATTGAATTGTATATTTAAAAAGTTAGGTTAAGTGTAAAGGTTTGATATGGTTTCTAAAATTTTACAACAGATAGTAATACTACAACGAGCAATACAAGTAAAACAAACAAACAGAATCAGAGCATACACAATATTTAGACTAAATATCATCACACCAACACTAATTTGTTATTAACGTGGCAATGCTTATTTATTGATACATTAATAAAGTCAACAATAGTGTACGGTACAGTGATACTGAATAAGTATGCATTTTACTGTTTTGTTTTACAATGAAAGTTTTACTTTCATTGTTAGAAACACAATAAAACAATTGATAGGCACATCTCTTGTCATTTCATACATAGTTTGTGTAATGTTTGTAAACAACTTGTTTATTTTATAGTTAGTATATATAAAAACGATATAAATATTTTGATACTACTGATTAGCCTATTAGCTTCTTGAAGTCCTCAAATGTGTACAGTGAGATCAGCGACAATTAGCATTGTTTTCTTGAGTCCGAACACAACAGTATAATATGACAAATAAGGTATAAATCAGCCACCTTTAATGATAGTACCAAACCAACTTGAATTGAAGACAGTATATAGACCAACGTATTATGAGCCGTCTAGAAACAAGCTTTTGAGGTTAACCATGCTACATACGTTTAATAATTTGAAGTATTTTGATAACTGAATTTACAATCGGTTTCTATTGGAACCTTTTTTTTTTAACTTTAACGACTTTTGATCTATTGCAATAATTTAAAAGTTAATTAAAAGTATAATGTATAATTTATTTACTTTTATGAAGACATGAGTAAAGTTTTATTATGTTTGAATTTGAATGAAGTAAAGTAAAAGACAAAATATAACGTATTTTAAAAAGCTTTAAAATGAATACAGAAGATGTTGATATATTTGTTATTATTATACTGGATGATGTACATCAAAAGAAGTTCTGCGCTGTTAAGTGTCTTTATAGTTAACAATATAAATTAATTACGTAAGAGTTACGCATATAATGTTTGACGAAAGTAAACAATTAACCTCGTCCTGCAAGTTCGTTTTGGACCAGACGTCGTTGCTGATCGCATGTTGTGCAGCATATCTGTTCATATCCAGGTAAGGTACAGAACGTCTGGTACATCGAAGGTTCACAGGGGCCACGTGATAATGGTTTACATCCTTGAGTTCGACGAGTTTTAGTTTCTGGGACTTCTAAAATAAATTGCAATTCAATGTTTATATAATTACCTATCAAATATATAACATTACATAACAAATATAATATAGTATATATAATACTTATTAATGTTTCATTCTATATTTTAGTAGCATATATACAGTTAATAATATAATATATAACTACAGTATATAAAAATATACAATACTTTAATAGTTTATTATATAATTATTATAAAATTTAATAATTAATATATTTTACAATTATTATTATTTAATTATTACTAATATACAACGAATGTTACGCCTAATAAAGAAAGGGATGCCATGATTCGACGTTTCGACCTTTATTGGGTCATTTTCAGGAATTAATATATACAAAATTTGAAGTAATATTTCGTCACTTTGTACGAGTGCGGTTTCAATTTATGATGACCGATATGAACATGACAACGATCAACATGTTAATATAGAATGTAATTTTAACGTAAAGTGTCTCGTTTTACCTGAATACAGTATTTCCAATTACAATAATTTTTGAGTAAAATTACTAAGTTTATATTAATGAAAATAGAATAAAAAAACAATAAAAAATACAAATGATGCAATAACAACAACAAAAAAAAGAATTAAAAAAAATGAATATATCGGGATTCGAAAGACTAAAACTGGAATAAAGTATATAGGTTACAAAAGGGTGAACACAAACTAACCTTCCCTACAATCCCGCATTGAACAATCCTGGTATTGAAGCGGTCTGCTATCTCGACAAATATACGAATCAGGGTATTTAGTAGGCAGATCGCAGTACACGTCCCTTGTTCTTGTCCCACGGCCACATGTAACAGAGCACTGCAATAATAGATAGTAAATTACAATCAGTGACGGATTGAAGGGGACTCCAGCCAGCCCGGATCCCTTCTCTCCCCTGACCCAGCCTAAATTTTGCAAAACTAATAAAATGAAGAAAAAAATATAATCAAATTTAGGTCTGATAGTGAAACTTCTTGCTATCTAGAGGTGCTATAATCATTTTTTTCTTACCTCAGCCCCAACCATTGTGGGACTTTCCGTCTGAGAAAGTCCCTCCCCGGGTCCCTTGATTTTGAAGTCCTGTATACGCCACTGACAATATTAATAAGTCTATTACTAATATTGTATTGTACGTAGGTACTGCCATATAAAAACAATTTGCAGTCTAAATATAGTAAGACAAACAATGCATGGAAGGGTTTTGCCGACGGTCTGAGCGTCAAGCAAGAGAGCGACTAGCCCAAAAAAAGGTGGTGATGATGATGATGATCATGATGATGATCATGATCATCATCACCATGATCATGATCATGATCATATGACAATGATAATGATGATGATAATGAAGATGATGACGATACTGTAGTAATAATTATTGATATTTGTAATGACAACAACAAGGATGATAATTCAGTATATTATTCCAGTAGACCAACCTATATTCAAACAAACAAAAATTACATACAGGTTTCCCTTCAATTAAATACCCCTTCAGATAAAGACCACCTCCAATTAAAGGCCATTCATTTTATCTGTATTATTCTAATTAGAGACCAAAAGTCCATGGAAACACCTGTCCCAAAAGTACGGTAGTCTTTAACTGGAGAAAGACCAGTATTTATAAGACCAGTATTTATAAATTAAACAATATAGTACAAGCACAATCCAACAAAGAAACTTTAACAAAAAAAAGCCTTACTTCGGACCAAGGTGTGGTTTCCCATTTAGCACTGCATTTAGTTAGTCCCGAACACGACCTTTTCTTCTGGGGCCTTCGTCCTCGACAGAGGGACTTCTTAGTTTTTGTGGTTCGGCCTTTGAATGACTTCATGCATGAGATTTTGCGCACTTGTATACCGTGTAAACCACATGTTTTTGAACAAGCCCCCCATGAACCTATGGTCCAGTCGAACCTTGTAATACAAAATAAGAATTACAAATTAATATAAGATCAGACCAATGTGTTGGGTGGGTTTTCATGATAAGTGCATCTTTGCAGGAAAAGACAATTTATTATATTCTATGATTTATTAATACAATTCCAAATTTAGATCTTTTGCTTATGCTTTCGGAATTAAGATTTTAAGAATTTGAATTTGATTCGAATCAACTAATATCAAAATACGTCCTCATATTAAGCACTTAAATGAAAATAAGATCTCCGGAAACCAATGTTTAGAATTTTCCAAGGTATACCTTGATTTTAAACATTATAAATTTTTAGATGATCTGTCCAATATAAATGAAAATCTTTCAATTATTTTGATAAATAGCCTATTGTAAAAAATATTATTATTATTATTATTATTATTATTATTATTATTATTATCATTATTATTATTATTATCATTATTATTATTATTATCTTCATTATTATTATTATTATTATTATTATTATTATTATTATTATTATTATTATTAATGAATTTGTATGATGGAACGTTGTCATTTTGCTTTATTTACCGAACCTTTAGTTCTGTAATTATTTTCGTAGTTAAGTTATTTTCTTTTCAATTTTCTGTTGATTTTTCTCTTTCGGATGCACCATCATTTTGGATGTGTGCCACTGTAATAAAAGTGATT